GCAATTAAAAATATAGGGTTAAAAGTTGTTTCAAATAAAATGCCTGACCTCAATCATCCTGCTAATATTTTTCATTTTTAAAAGGTTTTTCACTTTTTTGTTGCTTTGTGAAAAAGAAAGAAAAACAATATAAACTGAAGCTCTAGTCTGTGTCCAACTGCTATCCAGTGGAGATTAAATTGGTTTATACAAAGACTCCAATTCAAGAAGGCATTCCTTTAAGAAGGGTATTTAAAGCATGCGCTTCAATGCTTTCCTGAATTAGGGCCAAAATGCATGAAATAAAAAAATTGAAAAAGAAGAGAAAATACTTTTCTTTCCCCTTATTTCTCTGTTGCAATCTGAAGTCCTATGGTAACACAACTAGATAAAAAAGACAGAAGTATGATTTTCAACATGACTGTCACTGGAAATAAATTACTGTTGTATTCATCATTTGCTATTATTAAATTGTGTCTGATTTGTTCAGGCAAAGCTTTAGGTTGTCATAACATCCCATTGACTTCAGTAGGACTTCACATGGATACTGGAGAGACCTTTGCAGGATCTGAGCCAAAAGCACTACAGTGTTTATTAAGGAAATGTGCAAACAAAGAAATGATCATTCTAATAGCAATGAAAATGCTATTAGAATTAAAAATGCATTTCAATGTGAAGCAAAAACCTGCTTAAATTACATTTCAATAAAATGCAGTAGTTTATCAATATGAGAATAAAATATAGCTGTCCAAACACAATTTGCTGACCTAAAAAAATATAGGCCTAATTCTTATTCACATTAAGGCTACTTTACATGGCTCTGACAGTGTGAAAGGATGTTAAAGTGAGTGTAAATGTAATTTATGTCTACTTTATACTACCAAAGTGATGCAAAACGTCCTTAGTGAAAATAAGGATTATGGCTAGAGTTAATTCATTTACATTCACAATGTTTTTAGATATATTTGGGGTTTCTGAAATTGTGCAGTAAGTTACAGTTAGGTTCTGAAGTGAAGTAAAATGAATTTTAAATGGTTCCTGAATTCTTAGCAATTCTGCAGCAATGTGCTGAAAACCAGGTTCTTTCCATTTCAATATGCAACTATAGATGTTGCCTGAAATAATAACTCTAGCTTTTCTCGATGTAGCCTACCTGTACGAGAGCCCTCTAAATCAGAACTTGCATAGGCTACTTCTAGGTTGCAGTTTTAAAGCTAGTATTTAATATGAGTAATGACAGTTTAAATGGCATCCTGCATCTTCAGTACCTGACATCAAGGTTGCTAAGGAATTGATGTCATGCAGCCATTTCTGAAACGTCCTATCAATGAGAAGCTGGTTATGGAAAATGTAGTTTTGCTATCTGGAACACAATTTGTTGTTTTAAAATCCTTTAAAGACCTCTTTCTGGTTTCCTTTCCACTGCAATTTGCTACAGAATGTCCTTCTTAGAATGTAATTCTAATGGACAGGAAATAATGATTTCATAATTATTGTAAGTACTCATGTCTCATCTATGCCTCTTCAATGAAGTTCTCAATTCCCAACAGAGTTGGATCTGGATTGAAGAGACTGTTGTGATATTTAGCTAAACATAAAGTATTTCATGTTAATTTATAACAGCTCCAAATCAGAAATATGTTTCTTAAACATTCTCCTCCCCCTATCCAATGGAATCTGTTAACATTTCTTGGTAATATTAAAGTTATCCAGGAATGCATAATTCTGTGACATTATAATACAACAAGATTTCTAGCATCCATGCTGTCAAAAAATGATGGACTCTTTAATAAACCAAGAAGTTTTAGAGGGTTTCAGACAGGAGGAAAAGGGATTTTTTTTAAAGGTAAGTTATGGTTTGTACTTATTTCCCCCTTTAATCAGCTTAGCTGGGATACCTATTAAGGGTGTGCGAAGCTGGCCCTATTCATTTTGGATTCAACCCAAATTGGGGACAGTGATTTGATTTGTTGATTTGGATCACTGTCCCTGATTTAATTCAGTCGAATCTACCATAGACGCAGCTTTAAATGTTTTTTGTACATACCTCAAAGTATGAGCATGGCTAATGAATGCTGCAATGGTGGGGTGCATGGAAAGTCCCACAGGAGCGGGGGAGGGGGGGCGGGGGGCCCTACATGCTCGGCGGTGAACACAGAAGTGGACAGGAACTGCTTCTGGTCCACTTCCAGGTCTGCTGCCGAGCGCGCTGGGGAGCCTCCCACACTTCTGTGGGACACTCCATGAGCCCCAGCATTGCAGCAATCGTGAGCTGCCGGGTATCTAGAGGTATGTAGAAAAACATTTAAAGTTGTGTCTATGTCCGAATTGCCAAATCTTTCTGAATCTCCCCAAATCGATTTGGAGGGTTCCAATTCAATTTGGAGAGATTAAAGGGTCCTCTGATTTGATTTGGATTTGGAGATTCGGCCACCGAATTGGGCCGAATCTCTGCCAAACTGAATCAGGGACTGAAGCTTGGCACAGCCCTAATACCCATATTTTCTGTTAACCGCAATTTTCATATTGCACCACCGCTGCTCCCACCTCAACTAAGTATCTATTCTCCGTAGAAACATTCACAGTTGAGATCTCACATGGATGGAGAGGTCTAATGTTGAATCTTGATTCAGGTACCTAACTCCAGAGAGGAGTAGGACTTCATACACACCTTTGCACTAGATGTTTCCTGTGGCCTAGCTGTAGGTGCCTTACTGTTTAGCGTTTGGGATCACTCAAACACTCTTTAGAGGCACCTAATTCTCTCCACTGAGCACATATGGAGCCTAAGCATGCAACCCTGTTTCTCTGAATCACCTTCTTGAGGAGCCTTATTTTTAAACATGCTGAAGTCTACATTGGAAGTATCCAAGAGGCCAATCTGGATTTTTAACCTTAAGCACATTCTGAAATCTGTTCCTAGATTCTGGGTGCATCTATGTGTTCATTAATGCACAATGGTTACTGCACATTTAATTTAGTACTTGTATAATTAAGTACTAAATAATCGCTCAGGAACTGGAGTTACTGCACAGGAGCACCAGCAAACACCTTTTTAGTGATGCTACTGTGCATTATTAGGCATTAGTAGCCTAATAATATGATGCAGTAGCATATTAACACTGTTCATGCTGTGATGCACTACTGGGCAGTTAATGTCTCATGTAGACGCACCTAGTATGTACTTTCATTCTACTGGCTTCAACTGAATTTAAGCATGGGCTTAAGTCCTTTCTTAAACAGACGAAGAATTAAGCCAATGTATAAACCCAAGTTACCAGTTAAATGGCTTGCTGAAACAGAGACAGAATGAGTTAAACTCACAGCACCTCTCTGGAGCTGAAACATTACCCTCATTAGAGATTGGAAACTGGAGACATAACACAGCTTACATGTTATGTTGAGACCAGAACCTGTACCAGGAGAGAAGCTTGGAGAGGCAGGGAATAGACACACACATAGCTTTACTTTTGTATCCACACAAGAAGCGGATACCAAGGGTATGTCTATGCTGAAAACCACAGTTTTGTTTTTAATTTAAGGTGGCCAACCCATGTAATCTAACCTGGTTTAAAAAAAAAGCAGTGAAAATTATGTAATGTGCATCATAACAGGTTAAGAATTCCCTTTGGGGCCTTAACTTGAGCTGTTAACCCACATTAAAATCCAAGCTTCCCCGTTTTTACTGCTATTTTAAACAGAATTACTAAGTTAAGAACTTATTTTTTCCATTGTAGACATACTCATAAGCTACCAGTGGAGTTTTGCCAAAGAAGTTGTATACAGAACCCAGAACAATCAATGGTCATCCATCTATGTCAGCTCGCAAGACTGACCCTACTGAAGAAAGGGAGTTCAACTTCTCCCAGTCCCACATTTCTGGAGTGGCCACAGACCTTCTCTGTTTCTGGAAACACTATCCCATTGGGACTAAACTGTTGTAGTGAGCTAAGTGACTTACCCTAGGTTGCTTCAGGAAGCTTTTGACAGAACCAAGAACAGAACCCTGATCACCTTAGAATTGTAATGGGATTACCCATGCCTAAAGTTATCCCCTGTCTTAAATCTTTACAGGTTTGGTCTCTCTTTATTTTTATAGAGAAAAAAATAAATATGAAAAAGTAGGGCAGATTCTTTAATATAAAATTAAGAAAATGTCATGCATATGTGTCAAAAGAAAAGGGTTTCCTCAAAGACGACAAGCACACTAAATGTGCCCAGTGCAAGCTTATTTTGAATTTCCTTGGAGTGCAATGACCTTCTAGATTTTTATTTTATTATCATTTAATTGAATGTTATTGCTGCTGGTTTTATAATTCTTGAGATTTAAGTTTATTTGGGGGATTTAAATGAGTTAAAACAGTTAAATATAAACTCTGCTTTTGATGATCTCTTCCCAACAGACCCAAATGTATATACAGTATAATTTCATCACTGACAAAAATATACAAATGGCATAGCATTTCATGTAGTGCTTCAGTTCAGTGTACTTCACTATTTATAATATGTAAATACACAGCTTATTTCATAAAGAAAACAAGTTGTAGGCTACAGATGTATAAGGACTTTATTCATTTAATATAAACAGAAATGAAAGGAAAAAATGTTCTTTCACAATAAATAAATATACTATGACAAAGGTTACTATTGAAGGGATTAAAATTGACAGAAGCCAACATAAAAACTTTCAATATCGTACTTTTACTTTAATATGAAGACATTATTATCAAAGGAAAATACTCAAGAAAAGCTTTGATAAAAATAATCTCACACTATCTTTGAAGCGGTTTCATTTATTTTACTACCCACTGTGTTCCTTATCAGAAGGCCAAGTATAAGAAGTTTCCTAGTTTATGATTAGGAAAGAATCTGATAGATTAGAAGACTCAATTGAAGTTGGACATAATAAGTATTAAAGTATTACATGACATTAATCCTGCCATTCCATTACTCTCTCAATCATTGTGCACAGACTAATTATTCTGAAGCCAGTGTTCAGGAGAAAATAGAAACATACTTACACTGGGCTGGAGTAATCTCTTTATTGCATCAACAAGGCTAGCTCTGTACCGGTCCAGAAACAGGCTGACATTGAGAAGGGAACAGAATCCAGATTAAAATGGGTTTTCAATTCTAATGATACTAATGCAGATAAGTACAAGGCTAATTACATATGTTTACACAATGCTGAAAAGGAGAAACTGAAGTCTAAATTTCCTTCCTTCCAATTAATGTATGTTTTAGTAAAAAAACAAAACAAAACAAAACACACACCCCCTGGCTGAATCCTGCAACTAATGTTATCTAAAGCTAAAGCCAAAATATCAGCATGAAGCAGTTTTGTTATGTGACAGGAATTAACAGATCATGTATGCTAATGTTTTAATAGTGTGGATATCAAAAATTAGGATTAATATACTGTAATGCAGGGTTACCATTTCACATGCTGTTTATATAGAAAGGTTTAAAAAGAGGGTTGTTTTGTTTCTTTAAAGTATCCTCTCCATTGCATTTAGTGTACTACTCTTAAAAGTTTTCTTTGGCCATTTAAATATTTATCATCAGTTTATTAATTTGATATTTATGCATTTGCATTATGGTAACTTCTATAAACCAAGTTCCCCACCTTGCTAGGCATGCATTTTTCCACTGTAACAAAGAGACAGCCAAGTGCAGAGCCATCACATCCTGAGAGTGAAGTTCTTTATCCACACAACTGATATATAAAGATCCCAGGAAGGCAAGGGTCTCCATGGAGGCCCCGGGATCACTGGGCAGTAACAGTGCAGGGCCAGGCTCTTGGGCAGAGCTGTGATCCACTCCCAACACACTCCTGCCCACAGAACTGGCATCACTTGCAGGGGAGCAGATGGCAGCTCAGCCCTGGGCCTGTGCTGCCATGGCAAGACACCCCCTGCCCATCCAGCAGCAGTGGGGATGGCCGCGTGGAGTTGTGCCCCTCTGCTACTGATGGGCAGGCAGAGGGTGTATAGCTGGTGCGGGGCTCCAGAGGAAAGGCAGCAGGGCAGGGAGCCCACAGCGGGAAGCCTGCATCCATCCCCACTCCACTTGGCTCTGGTCCAGCTGTGTTGCTGTGGGGGGGGGGAGGTGGGCATGTATCCCACCTTTCCATTTGAAAAGGTGGTCAACTTACCAGCCAAGCACGGGGCAGAGCCACTTAGGGAATTTTAGTAAGCTGTTGTGGGCAAGGCGGGGGGAGGGAGGGGTGCTGACCCAGCCCATGACAGCTGGGGCTCCCTTAGTGGCCCTCCAGTCCCAGTAATTGTCCATCCCTGGACTAGCAGGACAAACTCCAGGATTTTACAGTGTTTTGTAGGATGTGCTTGTCTAAAGCATGAAAGCTTGTGGACCAAGTAGCACAAATAGACATGACAAACCAATAGCGGTGCTTCAAACGTGGTTGCACGAGATTTCTCCTTTTGAGTGCCTCCAAAATTACATCTGTGAACAGTACAACTATAGAGGAAGACATGAGGGAGACAAATCCTACCCCACCCTCCTTTCACACTACCCTGATTATATCTATTTAAGGTAAGTTCACACAGCGCTCAGACTTGTGATAGCAGCAGATGCAGGCATATCTAGCTCATTCAGGTACCAGTAACAGTGAAGCTGAGACAGCATCCATTTTCTTCAACTTATCATCTAGCCCAGGCAGGCAACATCCTGCACTGAGGCCTACATAGCTGTGATGATGTTTCTGTTTGTACCCAACCTGGCTAGATTAAAGCTGGTTAAGTTATCACTACATGTGCTGCAATTCCATCTCAGACTGCACTTTAGACATACCCTGTGTAACTGTAAAACCAGTCCATTTTTACTTATTGATCCTCCACCTTCTTCGATGTAGTTGCATAGAGACCCAGAATGTGCAAAAAATCTTGGGATTTTTTAAAGTGTTGGGACACAGAATTGCTTAAAGAGAACATGCAGCTACCATGTTATGTAAATGTGAACTAGAAAACCTTCAACTTAAAGTAAATGCTTACAAATAAATCTATGAAGGAAACTGACACAGACTTATTATCAGGGATCTGGATTTTCCATTTCTCACAGAAAAATGGGAAAAAACACAGACTTTCCCTTTTGCCTGAGAAAAACATGGATTTTTCATTTTAACAGAGAAACGTGGATTTTGCTCTTTTGCAAAGAGCTCTCTGCAGGCTGGCAGAGCTCTAGCTTGCAAGGGGCTAGGGGAAGCAGGAGGAGGGTGGTTAGGCAGGGGTGCCATGTGTATATACATCTTTCTGGAAACATGTACATGCCAGGCAGCCTGGAGAGCAGCTCCTGCAGGTAAGCGTGGGGGGTGGGGGGAAGGGGAATGAGACCCCCAGAGAGGGAGGGAGTTGGGTAGGGCTGGAACTGGGGCTGCTGCCTAGCTTGGCAGTGCAAGGGCTTGGGGCCCAGGACCACAATGTGTGGCCACAGGCTCCCAGCTAGGAGTGAGACGGGGCCAAGGGGGTTCCCCCAGAGGGCAGGAGGATGGGGCCAGCTCCCTGCTGCTGCATGAACCCCCAGGGAGGCAGAGAGGACCTGTGCCCCCCAGATCTGTGTGTGGGGCAGGGGTGGGCTGCCCACTGCTGGCTTGGGCCTCCTGTCCTGCTTCCCTGCCCCAGGGCCTCTATGGCCCAGTGGGTGGGATCCAGCACAACAAGGCAGAGCAGGGCCAGGCAGGGAAGCTCAGTGCCACTACTGTGAGCCCTGCACTACCCTGGTGATGTGTCCCCTGATTGCCTGGCAGCTGTGGGTGTGGCAGTGCAGGGTTGTGCCCCTCACTGCTCTGAGGTGGATAGGGGGTGTGGTGCCAGGGCAGTGCAGAACTTGTAGCAGCAAGGAGCATTCCTGCATGGCCCTGTTCTGCCCTCTGTGGCAGGTCCTACCTGCTGTGCCATGGAGACCCTGGGAGAGGGCAGCAGGGTTAAGAGTCCAAGTCCACAGTGGACAGCCCACCCCTGCACCCACCCTCACCCCATGCACAGATCTGGGGAACACATGCCTGCCTATTCCCCCAGGAGTGCATGAGTGGCAGAGAGCTAGCCCCCTCCTGCCCCTGCCCCCCTACAGGCTGTGCCCCGGCTGTGCTGCCCATAAGGGGGGCAGGGGGGATCCAGGCTCCATACTCCACTCTGCTGCTGCCTCCCATGGGTAGCAGCCAGGGCTCAGGCACTGCTGTGGTGGGGCAGGAGAATGTGGACCTGGGTCCCTGGTCCTGTTGCCCTGGCATCTGGGGGCCCCCATCTAGTGGGGGGGAAGGGGGGTGTGGGGGTCAGTGAGGGGCCAGGGGACTGTGACTTGGAGTGAGGGGCCTAAACCTGTGCCCTGGTGAGCTAAGGGGTCAGGGGAAGCTGATTTTCCCTAATTAAAAACCCAGAATCAAATACCAAAATGTATAGGTATTTAGAATTTATTTTACTACAGTGATTGAGACACTAGTAGGCTTCCAAATTGTTTTAAAATGATAAATATATCAATAAAATGTTGTGTTCATTTGATACCTATATATATAGAGTGATTTTTCATTTTAATAATGGATTTTTGGGTTTTTATCAGAGAATTTGCAATTTTTTTTTATCAGGGAAAACCAGGATCCCTGCTTATTATGAATGGATAACTGCATAATGATCTCAACCCTTCTGATTCCTTTAATGTTTTCTTGAATGTGATGCCTCTCTTATGGAAGTCTCTGAATCACAGCTACAATCTTTCCTTGTGCAAGGAATACCTGAACCTTGTTTTGGAGCCCAATATTGCTTCTAGCATTGGCTGGAAGCATGGGTGGTCTTCACCAGTTTCTTCTCTTGGATGAGCTAGCCCTAGGTTACCCAATATAAGTGTATGTTCTCTTCTTCTTGTGTTATTCTTAGTCAATTTTTATTTGAAAAGAAAAGAACATATGGCAAATCTACCTCACAGCAAGTTTTCCATACTTCAGCTACTGACACGTGGAACATTAATTTATTGAAAAAGATTTTAATATGTATCTAAATAATACAAATTATAAAGTCACTGTAACACACTAGTGCAGTAGATTATTTTTTCTTGTCTGGAGCTAAATTTTCAGAGGAAACAGACTGCAAAACTTCAGGTCTATCTACTGCAGCAGCAAGCCTATGATTGCAAAAGGGGTTACTGTGTGCACTAAAGAGTGCAGGTACCGAGCATTGCTCTCTGAAGTCTATGACATTTGGTTTTGTTTTAACCTAATCCATTTTGTCTAAGTATTGTAGTGGCATCCATACTCTGAGGGTTTTTTTCTTTTTTCAGGGGAGTAGGATCCTGCCACAGCTAATATCTGTGCCACTCAGTGCTATTAACACACAGTATCTTATATATTCTGCTGTTATTGTGTTAATAAATGATATTATCTCAGAATAGCAGGCAGTTAAAAAGACATGTTAGAAATTATATTATAAACTGCAACAAGAGTTAAGAAACCAAAATGTTATATCATGAATGTGTATGCCTTCTTAAAACTACATAGATTCAGGCATGGTTGCCCCTTGTAGTGTTACCACACTATATCATGACCAGATTATTTTAAAGTTAGACCTTCATCAGCGGGAGTAAGCCTCTGTTTTAGTTTTGCAAACTTTCCCTGGCCCCACCCTCAAATAAAAAAGCAGCTGATTTGAATTTTTTCAATTTGGCCGTATTTCATCAAGAAAAATGACAGCATGTTGCATTCAGCCAGCAGTGTAGGGATATGCGTGGGTGCCTGGGGCAAAGCAGAAGCAGTGACTTCTGGTTGCTGCTGAATTCACAATTGCAAACACATGGCTGCTGGCACCAGTTGCTTTTTTTACCCCCACCCTGCCCTCCAAATTGGTGCCCAGGCAGTTGCCCCTATCACCCCGCTGTAGCTATGCCACTGCATTCAGTCATATCATAATCTTACTCTACTGAATTGGTTCGTGCCTGAGAAGCCTCATCTTGAAAAAGGTGTGCTTCAGATGTATAATGATGTATTGGCTTGTATTCACCTAACACAGAGGGGTTAAGCTATGGCCATGGGCTAGATCCAACCCACAGAGACAGCCCAAAGGGCTGGTAGAAATGCTGGGAATTTGGAGGTAGGTCTGATGCAGCCAGCTCAGGGAATGCTTCTGTCCCAATTGCATTAGAAGATGCCCTAAGTATGGCAAAACAGGAGAAAGATCTGTGTTTGCAATAGGTTGGTGCAGGATTTGGGTGGTTAAATATCAACATCACATGCTGAAAATGCACCTTTTAAGAAAATCCTCCCAGAATTTCACAGCATTTCTCAAAGAAGCTAAGGGGCATATTGATCTGTTGCTCTTGTCATTCATTATGGACCTCACAATTCAAATTTGGCTTGTATCACAAGTGGTGTGGTGGTGTTCTTAGTTAGCCCTTTTCCATATAACAAAATGCTTCACATTTCCATAATAGGAAGTCTTTGACTGCAGAGACTCAGCAATGAAATTGGAGGAGCTTTTACAGGTCAGCACGGAAATGTCTGCTCACAGTATCAGTGGAACTGGAACAGTATGTACTGACTCTTGCTAGTACATCTGTTTTAATTTATAGGCAATAATGTAAATTTTTGTCCTATATTTTTATTAATTTTTATTTTTAAGGATGGGTTTTTTTATGTTTTCCATTTTAACCCACCATTATAACAAAATGAAAACTTACACAAAAACTCTTGGAGGTAACAGTGAGCTATAGCAAAATCATAAAAATGAGAATTTCTCAGTTAGATTACAGCTGATATGCTTTATCATTTCTTCTTGTGTCTTAAACAATCTCCAAGCAGGGGGCATGTGTTTATATTTTATGGGCTATCGCATCAAATATCTTCTTTTTGCATGTCCTGCAACAGCTACAACTGGTGTTTTAGACCTGATTTCCAATCATCCACAGCACCTAATGTGCAGAGTCATGTATGTTTTTACACAGCTTCAACTGCTGAGCTGTCATACGTTCAAAAACACTTATTAGGTTAAAAAAAAAGAATCCTATTTCCACACCATCAGGTTCCATTACAGTTGAACATGCACGTGTAGAGGCAGGCTTAAAAGGAACAATAACTTGTTATTCTAAACTTAAGAAGGACCGAGATCTTACTGCATTCCTGTGGAAAGAAATCTTTATATTAAATAGAGTATAGAACAAGACATTTTGATTTAATGGGTAACTTGGGCTCAATTCTGCATTCCTAGCAAATCCATAACTCCTGCTTCTGACAATGAAGGTAACACAGCACTTGATTCATACACCTCAATCATACAAACCATTACATTCATGTCTAACTTTCAGCAAAGAAGCAGCCACACTGATTTTGGGGTCCTATTCAGATGTTTGAATGTTACCAGGTCTGAGCCATATTCTGTAGCTATGTCATATTCATAACATCCTAACAAGAAACTGAAATATTCTCCCTTGGTTACCACCTCTGGCTTCAGGCTTCTCTTATAAAAAAAAAAAAAAAAAAA